ACCTAGATTTTTATTTTTTACCTAAAGATTTGATATTGAATAAATTTCAGTTGTGTCTCTACTATAATAATTTGATTCAACAGCAGTAGAAATGCTTCTGTCATTTGCTAACAATTTTACTGTAACTGAGCTGATAAATACCATAGGGAATCGCACTCAGACTCACAGAAAGTCACTCACCAGCCTGGAAAAAACTTTTCTTCCAGTCTAAAAAACCAAAACAAAAGAAAACAACACTTCAATTACATCATCAGTTTCAAACAAACATTTTCATGTCCTGGGGACTTTTTTTATTTTTACATTTTATTTGTCCTGGGGACTTTTTTGTTTATTTTTACATTTTTGTTTGTTTTCATTCTAATATCCCTACATATTTTATATCATTAACTAAAATATCTACACTGTATCATCAGCCTCACAGTTCTCTCTCTGGAGTTCTTTCTTCCATTCATCCTTCAAGTCTCTTTCTCCATACCTTTTGAGTTTTACACTTGGAAAAATGCTACTTTGTGATCCTGGATGGTTGAATATTCTAAAGATTCAATATCTCCCTGATGTTAATATTCCTTTATAGTTTGTTTCAAAGTTGTGCCACAGTGATGACTTCCTTTCCAGTTTAAAAAGATCATTGGGGTGGGAAATCTGTAAGGACAGTGGAGGCAGGGCCGGACCAGGGCTTATAACCCAGCCGACCCACTCCTCTTCCTTCAAATCACAGGTACAGAACTACAGCCCCCAGAGGTCTGTGGGGAACACCATCTTTAAAAACTTAGATTCTGGTGGGAAATCTGCGAGGACAGTGGAGGCAGGGCTGAACCAGGGCTTGTGACCCAGCTGACCCACTCCCTCTTCCTTCAAATCATATATACCAAATCTATAAGATTTATCAACCTACCCTAAAATATTCATGTACCATTGAGGATTAAGTTACATGGGGAAACAAAGCTTTCTGGCCTGACCACGTGGAGCCCACTAACTAAAAAAACAGGGAAATCCTGAGGATCTCCAAAGAGTGGGGAAGAAGCAATCTCAGAAAGGGAACAACAAACTTCCTCCTTCATTATTTAGGTTCCCCTGAACCCCTTCCTGCATGTATCAGTTTGCTCCTTCCCTCCCCACTCACACGAGTGTGCACACACCCTATTCACATCTGTTCTTGTTCCTGCCCAAACTTCTCCTGGAGCAGTGACTCAAATCAAAACCCAACTACCACCTCAGACATGAAAAATTCTGCCACATCAATGGCCCGTAGAAAGCAGAGTGCTTCACTTGTCCCACAAGCCCAAATCAAGAGATCACCCCACAAAGAAGACACATTAGCAACTGGTTTCCTGAAGCCAGAAAGCCTGATGGAACTTTCTGACACAGAATTTAAAAGAACAATAATTGACTATTTTCAATGGATGAAAAAGAAACTTGATGAATTACAGGACAGTGCTAGCAAAAATCAGGAGGAGCTTAAAAAA